CAATCTAATTTTTTTTCCGGAATATTTTCTGAAAACAATTACATTTTTTGAAAAGAAGAAAAGAGCGAAACAATAATCAATTGTGTATTTTCTTCCTGAGTTTTATGAGTTATAAATATCACTCAGCGCCATAAAAATTACATTTCGCACAAAATTATCACTTTTTTAAACATTCGATATTTACAAATACATAATTGAAGCGATTTTCTTCAATTATGCATCCGGAAACCTCATTTTTTTAGGCATGAAAAAATTGGAATTATAATTTTTTTAGGCACTCAATTAAAAATTCATTTCTCCCCCCCTAATTGAGATGAAGTTATGAAACCAATGCCTATCGATCAAGAATTCAATTCTCAATAAATGACCCCGGTTTCATTCCTTAATTTCAATAAGGAGAAAAAGAATGAATTTTCAAACGCGCGGAGTAATTCCGAAGGGTTCTCCGGCATCGAGTGAGACCGGAGAGGCTCATCCGATTGGAAAAATCATTTCGTCCCTCCCCCCTACTTGAGATGAAGGCATGAAATCAACGCCTATCTATTGAGAATTATATTTTCAATAAATGGCAGCGGTTTCATTCCTTTATCTCAATAAGGAGCGGAGGAATGAATTTTCAAAGCGTGGATTAACCCCGAACAGTTTTCCGGCGTCGAGTGAGTCTGGAGGGGCTCCCCGATGGGAAAATTCATTTCTGCCCTTCTAACCCTTCAAGTACGGGGCCTCTACGACGCAAACTGTCCCCGCGGCCGGGCGCTCCGTGACATATGAATTGCACAGTTTGTTTGCTCATAACTTCCAAACTAATGGTGCAATTACGAAATAAGTTTTTATCGCCAATGGTATGAATCGGGTAGGATAGAAAAAAATTACACATTTTTTTGCTCTACATTTTTTTAAGAAATCTAGTTTTTATGCCCCAAAACGTCAATTTCGCCGTTTTGTAATAATCAAGATAAGTATAACTCGTGGTCATTTACACTGTATGCTAATAAAAAATCCGTAAAAATCACCTGTGGTGCGTTGAACCTTTCTGACAATTTTAAGTGCTATCCGAAGTCTCTATCTCAAATACGTTATTTATAATGAATCGTTAAAAAAAATGCATATCTCCCGTTTTTCATAAGATACTAACTCAATTTTTTTTTCAATAAATTGGAAAAAATAAAATACATGACATATATAAAATGCAAAAACCTTGAATGAAGTGTATATATTTTAGAATTAATTATTATTTCGTATGAAATTTCGGCTCAGTGGGTGGAGCGTTCAGTGTAGAGCGAATTGGCGCACGTTGGTCGCTCGGCAGCTCAGGGCCGTACGCTCGTACCGATTGTTGGGAAAAGGAGAGAATAAAATTTTTGAATACAAATTCAGCAGTTATTGTCAGTCTAGACATGTTTTTATTTTGTTGCGCATAATGAAAATCACACACATCTCTTTGGTTAACATTTTGACTTCTATTTAGTCTTCAAAAATTTTCTTTGGTATGATAAATCTCGAAACAATCCTGAATGCAGAGTCCCACACTACAGACACCAATAAACCGTTGTTTTCTTTTTATCATGTCTCGTGCAAACAACACATCGCCTTTTCAGTTGTGCTTTTCCATCATTACGAGGCACTTTTTTAATAAAGTGTCTCTCACTCAATCGCCTCAGATCCGTAACATCTGACATGCTGTGAGACGATTCCACTCTCCTGTGATATTTAGCGAGAATACCTTCAATGAGAGCAATTCTGAAATCATTTTGACTCATTTCTGATCCAGAATTGTCCTTATAAATGATGCATGCGTTGACTATAGCAGAATTCATCAATCTTTTAAACATTTTGATGTACCACTTCTTACATTTTTTTCTCTCAAACAAAAATGGTTGGAGTAACTGATCGTGTAAATCCACACCCCCCATGAACTTATTATAATCATACACACAGTTTGGTTTTGTAGTTTCTTGCTTTCTCTTATTCAGTGAAGTCGTCATTGCATCATCGTGATATGTAGAAATCATCGATACCATCTTCTTGTCACTCCATCTCATCACAGTCACAGCATCACAATGTTGAGCCACAATCTCTCCCTTCTTTATTTTCTTTTCTTTTACAACAACGGGAACATTTTTTCGATTCAGTCTCAAAGTACCCACACAATCAATTTCATGTGATTTCAAAAAGTAAGCTAGAGCAGGGCTGTTGTAGAAATTATCCATCCATAAGGTGTACCCCTGTCCCAATAATGGTTCCTTCAGTTTCAATACAATTGCAGAAGTCTTAGGAGTATCCCGTGTGCATAGAGCACATTCCATATCAGTATCTTTCCCTAAATACATGACGAAATTCCACAGATATCCAGTGGTTGACTCGCATAACTGATACCACTTGACCCCAAATTTTGCAGATTTCAAGGGTAAAAATTGCTTTAGTGACAACCGACATTTCCACAGAGTGAGTGACTCATCTATCGCAATATTCTGATCAGGAAGATATGAATTCCTGAATTTTTCCTGCAAGTCTTCAATCACTGGGTGGATTTTGAACTACTGAGGTGGTCCAGTGTACGAGGATCGTGTAGAATTATCAACGAAATGTAAATATTTATTTACGAACTCGAATCTATCTCTTGACATTATATCATTGAAGCCTGGTGTAGAGAGAAGCCGTTTCTTTACAAAATACATTTTGATCGTTGGTTTTTGAATAAAACTCATGAGCCATTTTACTTTTCCTTTCAAAAATTGTCGTTGTGATGCTTCTTGCTCTGCATACCGATTTGTTCCAGTGACAAGTATTTGTACAAAATTGGGAGAAAAAAATATTTCAAATGATTCCACCACCTTTGTCACTCCGACCGCCTCGTTACAAGGGCCAGGATTGCCTGTGAAAACTTTTCTCTTACTATGATAATTCTTCATAGGCTCCCATTTGAATGCATGACCTTCAAGCATATTCCAACTTTTTAAAATTTCCGTGTCATTGTCCCCTTGTCCATGCTGGAGAAACAAATAAAAACACACCAAAATAAACTCGGCATTCCAGTGACATTGGGAAATAAAGAATATAAATAAAATTCAATTGCATTGGAATATTTTTTTGCGACCATGGAAATGAGATTGGGTGAAACTTGATTTCGATATTCAGTGATTGATTCTCTCACTTGGATGGAGAAAACATACTAATGAAACAAATTTTGTCATCGAGTAAATTCTGCAGCTAAATTTCATTCAAATTTTATTCAATAATAATTACCTGACTGTCATGAGAATCATCACTACTGCTGTCTTCATCACTATCAAAATCACTGTCTGAATCTGTATCAGCAAAATCTGTATCTTCTAAAAGGTTTTGTATCTCAGAATCGGTACACCTTCGATGTCCCATTGTGTGTCAAATGCGGGAAATAAATAGAACGATTGAAACAACGCACGGGGCCCGTGTTGTGGTTCGGTAGACAGCACCCGTCTTGCGAGTGAGGTGCACACACACGTACCGCGCATCCCCACTCTGGGCGGAAGGGAGAGCGTTAGCGCTATTATTTATCCCAATTATTATCTCAACAACTAATTGACAGAAACAATTATAATTAGAGAGCTTTTCTAGAAAAAAAATCACCGAATAAAATGACCCTAAATTCGTCTTTCTATGTCACTCCATAACAGAGATAATAGTTCACATGTTTATAATAAATGAAAATATTGGCGGAAAAATAAAAAATCATGCGGCATCTAATAGAGGAAGGTTTGAGCTATATTGTTGATTTTTTTCAGATTTTTCAGTGAATATTTCCTCGATAAACGAGACCCTCAAATTTGTGTTACAGTAACTGAAAATTTAGTTTTCTGTTTTTTCAAAATTTAATTAGTTAACATGAAAATAAAAAAATTAAACAGATGTCATATTAACACTTAACTATTCATCTTTAAGAAAAAATTTACAAAATCGAAATATGTTGCAAATTGGGTAGGATATTGCTATTTTTCTAGAGCGGGATAAGGGTCTCTATGATACATGGACCCCGGCCGGTAGGACAGGCTCGAGAGTCCATATACGTATATGGACCCCGTACTTGAAGGGCTGATTGAGATGATGGCATGAAACCAACGCCGATCGATCAAGAATTGAATTCTCAATAAATTACAGCAGTTTCCTTCTTTAATCTCAATAAGGAGCGAAGGAATGAATTTTCAAAGCGCCGAGTGATTCCGAACAAGTTCTTCTCATTCAAAAATTATTTTCTCCCTACCCTAATTGAGATGAAGCAATAAAACCAACGCCTATTGAGCGAGAATTATATTTTTAATAGAATTTAGAATAATGCGGCCGGTCAATTTCTTGCCCAGAGTCACCTAAATCATACGATTTTTTGTAACTTCCGCCTTACGCTGGTCAGCCCACCAGCCCTGTATATTTCACTAGACTAATGAGGCTGGTCACTGCCACTTCACTTAGGTCAGCTGGTTCCATGAAAGCCTGGCCCCAGCTCCTATATGTAGATATACGTATCGCCCTTACGTATAGCCAGTAGGGGGCATTCGCACAGAATATGTGCGGCATCATCTCATTCGTCTCTACCGTCCCCGCATAGCCTACAGCCTGCCTACTCAGCTAGTTTCATCTTGTACAGGTGAGCCCTGAGGGTAGTGTGGCCTGCAAGAAGTCCTATCGCAACCCTCAGATTTTTCCTGTTCAGCGCAGGAAGTTCTCTAGTGCTTCTATTTCACTGCTCCCCCATAAACAGTTTAGACTGTCTACAGTTTGTGCTAGTTCGCCAGTGTTTTTCGAATTTTCGCTGTAGGTGATATTTTATGATCTTTTTTCCCACTGCGAATGGCACAACAATCAGACCCTCCGGAGGAATGCCTTCCGTTCCTCTTCTGGCCTGCCAGTCCGCCTCTTCGTTACCCTGTATTCCGTGGTGTCCCGGAACCCAGGTTGTCACCCTGACTTTATTCCTCTCCCCTAAAATGGCAAGTACTTGCATACACTCTCACAACACTTTAGAATTAGTAGTGGCTTTCTTCCAGTGCTTTTATGGCCGCCTGGCTGTCCCTGCAGATGAAGATTTTCATCCCTTCCGTCTCTTTTGCTATCAGGGGCTCGGCATACTTGGCTATGCCTAACACCTCGGCTTGAAAGACTGTTGCATGCTGGCCCAGGGGGAAGCTTTCCCCAAAGCCATCCTTCAATCGATAGATCCCCGCCCCAAAGCGTTCAGTGTAGCCAAATCCATCGGTAAACCAGTAATCCTCCTTGGGTGCTGGTTTAAGTTTTGAATCTAGCCACTCCTCTCTGGATGGTATTCTAGTTTTGAAGGCTTTGTTAATTTGATATTTTCTCTGAATCCTCTCGGACTTGTCCGTGAAGGGATTTGCATTAATCAAGCCAAGTTGGGTATGACCTTGGCCTGTCGATTTCCATTCCTGCTGACACCATAGTCTGTAGGCTGTTGTGCTCGCACAGCTAATCACTCTGAGGTCCAAAGGCAGGATACTGAGTGCTATTTCTAGCGCCTCGGTAGGTGTGGTCTTCATGGCCCCCGCCACGACCCTCAGGAAAGTTACCCGTAGGCCTTGCAACAGGTTCCTTGTTTCCACCATTCCTGCACTTGGCCACCAGACTACCGCAGCATACATTAGCCTTGGTAACAGTACCATCTGATAGAGCCACAGTGTCATTCTGGGGTTTAGCCCCCAGCTTTTCCGAATGGCCCTTCTGCATGCCCACATCGAGGCAAACACTTTGATTCTCTGTGTATAGATGTGATCCTTCCAACTGAGTTTATTATCTAGAATTACTCTCAGATACTTAACTTTGTTGGAGTAGTTTACTACCGAGCCGTTCAGTATTAAGGGTCTGATCATCTCTGGCTTGTATTTTCTTATGAAGACTAGGACTGTGGTCTTGGCGGGATTCACCGAGAGGTCAGTTTCCCTGCACCAGCTCTCAACGATAGCAAGTGCCGTCGCCATCAGGTCGCTGAGCACCCTCAGAAAACGACATCTAACCACTATTGCTACATCATTGGCAAAGCCAATGACATGGCACCCCGCTCCACGCAGCCTTTCCAGAAGTTCGTTCACAACCAGATTCCACAGCAGAGGTGAGAGAACTCCCCCTGTGGGCATCCTCTGGCTGGGCACCCTTCTATATAGCTTTGTCCATAATTAGCCGACAGTCTTCTGCCCCTTCACATGGTCTGTGTCCAAGTAATGATCGCCCTAGGGATCTCATGCTTCTTCATAGCTTCTTCTATGGTTTCGTTCTAGGTGCTGTCAAATGCTCTCTCAACATCCAAGAAGACTCCTATGGCATATCCCTTGGCAGCGAATTATCCCTCCACGAGTCTCACCAGATGGTGCAGGGCGGTATCCGTGGATCTACCCTCTCGATAAGCATATTGAGAGGGAGAGAGGGGGCTTCCTACCAAGTGCCCCATTTTTATGAATCGGTCCACCAGTCTTTCCAGCGTCTTCAATATGAAGGATGTAAGACTTATTGGGCGGAAGTCCTTTGGTTTAATATACCCAACCGTGGCCGGCTTTGGAATGAAGACTATCTTAGTCTCGTTCCATGACCTCGGAACATGTCTCAGTGCTATACTGGCTCTGAGGATTTTGGTAAAGGGTCCTATGATGTTCTCCCTCCCCTCCTGTAGCAGGGCCGGGAAAATCCCATCTGGCCCCGGTGCTTTGTAAGGCTCAAAGGTCTTTTACAGCCCATTTGACTCCACACGGTTACACAATTTTGCCAGCCAACGACCAGTTATGAGTGTCGTGTTCGCCCCTTCGACTTCGCCTTGATTCTGTATCTCCTCCCCGGGATTCGGTGAATCGTGGAAAGTGTGTTTCCATTAGGAATTTCAATGTTTCCTCCATTGTCTCCGTATTGCTCCCATCCGGTGCTTGTAGGCTCCCTAGATATGTGGTCTTGTTTGTAGCAAGAATTTTTGCCAGTCTGGCAGTCTCTGATTGGCTTTCAATGGTGCTCGTGAAAGCCCTCCAGTACCAGTCTTTGGCGGCTTTTATTGCCTTATTGTACTTTGCGACAAGTCCCCTGTAAGTCCAGGCTGCTTCCTTACGGGGACCTACCTTCGCATTCTTTGCCTTGTTCAAAGCCCTTCTGGTTTCATTCCTGAGTCCCCCAAGTTCGTCTTCAGACCACCAGAGTATCTCAGTCTTCCGCCTTCTGGGCAACAACTTACAGTTTTCCTCATATGAGTCAATTATCACCCGGTGCAAGACCTTAGAAGCCTCTTCCAATTGCTTCTTGCTGCCAAATCTGAGAGAAATCATCCTCAGCCTAAGTGCTAGACTCTTCCGATAATTTCCCCAGTCGATCCACCGTGGGTTTCTGCTCCACTCAGTCCCTTCCTCAAAAAGACGGACATTCTTATGGTTCTATCATCCGAGGCCGAGAGGTCCTTTGAGACCCTCCAGTCTCTAACCAAGACAGCCACATCATCCGTTGCCAGAGTTATGTCTAGTACTTCCTGTCGCCTACGGTCCACGAAAGTTGGTTTTGTCCCTTGTTTAAAATATGGAGCCGTGCCCCCATAATGAACTCTTGGAGGCTCTCTCCCCTCCCGTTGCAACCGGTGCTCCCCCATGCAGCATGATGGGAGTTCGCATCACAGCCCAACAGGATTGAAGCCCCCTCCTTTTCACATGGTTGCACAGCTCTTTTACTTCATCCGGTGGGGGTGGCTCTGTTGAGTCATAGGGCATGTAAGCCGACCCTACTATTATATCCATAACCCTGCCTTGTCCTAGGTTTAACCGCACTTGAGCTGCAGTTAGATCTCTCCCGCTGAACTGTGGACAGAGAAAAGAATCCAATCCTTTAATAATTAGGCAGGTTCTCAATTTTTCCGGTGTATCCCCTTAATTGCATTGTTGATTATCCAAAGTTCTTGGATCAATGCTATTACTATCTGCATCCCAGCTAGAAGCTTGGCTAGTGTCGCTCAAGCCGCCTTACTGTGATGCAAGTTGATCTGTACGATCTGTACCCGATTCATAGCTATGGTAGCTATTCCTCTGATAGTTCAGTCGTACCCGTCTTCTTTACATCACTGCGGTCTCTCCCCAGCTTCCTTATGGTAGCCTTTTGGAGCCCACAGTGAGGTCTGAAGTTGGATGCCTCCAGTCCAGCAAGCGACTCGTCATCGACCAGCGCAGCAAAGTGGGCATTCTTGGCGTCCCTAGATTCGCTGCCCCGAACGACGACCCACTTACTGGCCTTCAGGCCTGCATTTTGCTTCTCAAGAAAACTCAGTGATTCCTGAGAAGTAATTTCCGGGTCCTCCACGTGTATCACCACTCGATGCTTCTTAGGAAGCTCCGAGAGTGCCACAACGTGGATGGTGTGCCCCGTGGCCTCATCTGTGCAGTACACCACAACCGCAGCGTCCCTCTCCCAGACCCCGTCGAAGGTGGGTGCTTTGACTCTGTCTGGTAAAGACAATATGGCCCCTTTCAGAAGCTTCTTCACCTCTGTCACCCCCCCCCCTCCGGTGTCCAGCTTCTGGTCCGGATACGACTGCGGTATCACTGTCAACTTTAACGAGTTTGCAGTTCTCTGGTCATATGTGCCCTGATCCTGCTTCCTCATTTTTTTCTCTCTTGGCCCGTTGGTGGGACGAGGCGTGGTGTGCTCAGGAAGAAGTCGTTTTTCAGCCCTCTTTTGAGCCTCCACATCACCAGCCACTTCAGCCTGAGATGCAGCTTCGACCAAGGTTGCTAATACCCCCGACGTTTGCTGCTGGCTCTGCCTCCTCATCTTTTTCCTGGTGGCACCGCTCAGCCTGTCTCTTTTGTTTTTTCCCCCAACCGAGTCAGTCCGAGAGTCGCCAGTAGTCCTCTCCGGGTGTTCGCCATCACTAGCCCCATCCGGAGACGTTTCTTCAACTAATAGTTTTTTAAAAATGGTTTCCATTCTTGGTCCTACGAGTAACACGGAAGAGCGGTCTCACCCGATCAGAGCCGTATGGCGGGGCTTGCTTTGTCCTAAGACTACTCCCAGATGTCGCCCGGTTTCTGAGAGGCACTGTTAATGACAGAGCTCTCCCTGTGCCACGCATCCCTAGGCACGGTTATATGACCATAAGGTCATATACTGGTTATACACCAGGCTTACACCATGGATTTGGGTGGGTTTCTCTTAGCAGTCACGGACGGTGGCAGCCCCTTTTTAAAGCCTCCCTACCAACGACAAGGTGGAAACTCGGTCAGGGGGGATATTTTTAATAAATGACAGAGGTTTCATTTTTTAATCTCAATAAGGAACGGAGGAAGGAATTTGCAAAGCGCAGAGTAACCCCGAACGGTTCTCCGGCGTCGAGTGAATCCGGAGGGCCTCCCCGATTGGAAAATTCATTTCCCCCCCCCCTTATTGGAATGAAGGAATGAAACAAACGCTGGTCCATCGAGAATTGAATTCTCAATAAATGACAGTGGTTTCATTTTTTAATCTCAATGAGGAGAAAAGGAATGAATTTTCAAAAGCGCGGAGTAACCCCGAATGGTTCTCCGGCGTCGAGTCCAGAGGGGCTCCCAGATTGGAAAATTCATTTCTCCTCCCCTAATTAGGATGAAGGAATGAAACCAACGCCGATCGATCGAGAATTGAATTCTCAATAAATGACCGCAGTTTCATTCTTTAACCTCAATAAGGAGAAAAGGAATGAATTTTCCAAAGCGCGGAGTAACTCCGAATGGTTCTCCGGCGTCGAGTGAGCCCGAAGGGACTCCCCCGATTGGAAAATTCATCCCCCCCCCTAATTGAGATGAAGACATGAAACCAACGGCTATCGATCGAGAATTATACTTTCAATACATAACACTGGTTTCATTCCTTCAACTCAATTAGGGAGAGGAGAAATGAATTTTTGAATGAGAAGAACTTGTCCGGAATTACTCGGCGCTTTGAAAATTCATTCTTCCGCTCCTTATTGAGATTGAGGAATGAAACCGCTGTCATTTATTGCGAATTCAATTCTTGATCGATCGGCGTTGGTTTCATGCCGTCTTCTCAATTAGGGGGGGGAATGAATTTTCCAATGAGGAGAGCCCCTCCGGATCCACTTGGCGCCGGAAAACCGTTCGGGGGTACTCCGCGCTTTGGAAAATCCTTCCTCCGTTCCTTATTGTGATTAAGAAATGAAACCGCTGTCCTTCATTGAAAATATAATTCTTGATCGATAGGTGCTAGTTTCATTCCTTTATCTCAATTAGGGAGGGAAGAAATGAATTTTTGAATGAGAAGAACTTGTCCGAAGTTACTCCGTGCTTTCAAAATTCATTCCTGCGCTCCTAATTGAGACTAAGGTATAAAACCGCTGTCATTTATTGAGAATTCAATTTTTGATCGATCGGCGTTGGTTTCATGCCGTCATCTCAATTAGGGGGGTAGAAATGAATTTTCCTATCGGAAAGCCCTTCCGGACTCACTCGACGCCGGAGAACCGTTCAGAGCTACTCCGCGCTTTTGAAAATTGATTCCTTTCCTCCTTATTGAGATTAAGGAATGAAACCGGTGTCATTTATTGAGAATTCAATTCTTGATCGATCGGTATCGGTTTCATAACTTCATCTCAATTAGGGGGGGAGAAATGAATTTTTTTAACGGAGAATCACTTCAATTATCTATTTGTAAATAACGAATGTTTAAAAAAGTAATAAATTTGTGCGAAATATAATTTTAATAGCACTGAGTGATATTTATAACTTATAAAACTCAGGAAGAAAATTCACGATTGATTATTGTTTCGCTCTTTTCTTTTTTTTAAATAATGTAATTGTTTTCAGCAAATATTCCGGAAAAAAAAATAGATTGTCGGGGAATCGAACCTACAACTCCAGCATCAGGGTCTGAGACGCTAGCGGCACGCTGTCGCATTATATTAGTATTATACCACCTTTTCTGATACACATTCATTAGAGCCAATGGAGCCTTATTGAATATGTGTGTC